TCTTATTTGCGATAATAAAGCATCCGATGCCAATAGTATCATTATTGTTTTGTGATAATAAAACGTAATTTCTTAGTCAACTTGTGCTGTTTCCGAACCAATGAGGATCGTAAATTTTGACTTTTTGAAATTTAACGTCGGCAAACTAAAATTGTGCGAGTTTTTTTTTATATAAGATTTATTAAACTGACTAGATCCTGCTAGTGAATTGAATATTCATGTTTAATACGCCAAAGATTACGTGAACAACGGTAGTGTTAGAGTAGTTTATTCGATTTCGTTTTTAACACAATCAATTGAAAGTTACGATTTTAAATGAAATTTTACGATTTAGCGAAGATTTTTATGGTATTCATTATATCGACGCTTGAAAGGCAAACGTGACTAAGCGACAATAACTGCTTTGTACATAAATGATAGGCAATAACCATATTCGATGCGCAAAAAATACATATTTCTAGGTCTATTAAAATCATTTTAATCCTACAGCTACTAGCTAGATTCTACTACAGCTGGATTCGTTAAAATAAATTTTGTTTTCAGGTATTTCAACTTTAAATTTGTCTACTGTAAAGTTCACGCATTGTCGCTTAGTCACGTTTGCCTTTCAAGCGTCGATATATATTATAACTGTTTGGCAGTAAAATTAAATGCAACTCATTCTCGAACTTGGTGACATCATAACTTTAGCGCACGTTGCAGTTAGAATGCTTTTACTGAAAATCGTGGGTACACGGTAAACTAGTTGAGAACTCTATTTCATGTTCAAACACTATCGTTAACTATCGTCATTAAAAAAATAAACGCATTACCGCTTTGCATTTTGGTTAGCGCCGCATGCTATTTGGCACGTGACAAAGACTTATTGACACATAGTTAAAAATAAATAAAAAAGCTAACAAAATACGCTTTTATAGAAAATCCAACATGGGGTGCATGGTATAAGTAGTTATAAATATTTTACGAACAGATATGAGTAGAAGGGTTATTTTGATAATATCCTGAAAAGCACCCCACGCATTTTTACAATAAAATCATTTTTTCTTGCATTATTTTTTAATTCAAATATGTTAAAATTTATTTTCTATTGTTTAGTTGGATTTTCTATAAAAGCGTATTTTGATAGTTTTTTTAAACTATTATTAATTTTTTATTTTTTAGTTGAATTTAAATTTTTTCAATATTTTTTTTAAATATTGTATTGTCATCGATCTGAATAAGTATACAAAATTTCGAGTTAATCCGACGTTTTGAAGGGGTCAAAATCATTTTCAAAGATTCCGTTACAAACAAACATACATACATACGTCTGAAGCTAATAAAAGCGTATTAATTAATGTGATTGTTTGAAAATTACATCAATTCAGTCATTAAAACTCATTTAATGTTCTACTGTATAAAGCGAAATAAGTTGTAGCTTCAAACGTTAAAAAGATACAAACCGCCAAAATTTCGACTACAGTTTTTTACACAAAATCAGAAATTCTCGCTTTAAGATAAGAAAAATCGATTTATTCTGACTACATCATTAATATTACGGTATCTGCGAGCTGATATGGCCTCAAAATTATTATAATGAATAGACAGGATTCAGTGGGTACGTAACGTACAGTCAAACGACAGATAAAATCTCGAAAGTTCACGGGTTACACAATATAATAACAACGTTGTATCAATTAATCGATAACACCGAATATCGTAACTGTTTTAATCGATATTTTAATTGTGAATACCAAGTTATACGCGAAACAAAACCAGACTTATTCGTGGATCAAACGACAGTTTAGCGCAGCGGGCTTATTCAGTCAATTTTAATTTGGCCAAAACAGTTGACAACCTAACCTCATTTTTGAACGTATTTCATCTTTATTGTTCTACAATATCATCATCGATTTTAAGACGAACGTCACAAAACACCAACCCCCCGCAGCTATTGTGGGAAAGAAACGCCAACACTTAACGTTTATTGCTTAGATGGGTGGACGAGCTCACAGCCCAGTTGGTATTAAGTGGTTACTGTGGTTACTGAAGCCCATAGACATCTACAACGTAAATGCGCCACCCACCTTGAGAGGTCTAAGGTTTCAGTATAGTTACAACGGCTGCCCCGCCCTTCAAGCCGAAACGCATTACTGCTTCACGGCAGAAATAGGCGGGGTGGTGGTACCTACCCGTGCGGACTCACAAGAGGTCCTACCACCAGTAGAAGGTTTCAGGCGGATGGCAACACGCGTTTTAATAAACCCGCGTCTCTTGTGACCGCACGTCAGCATTACGTAGGTACGTGGAACACGAAACCCGGCGTGTTCGGTTTATAACGGCGCATCAGCGAAACACAAGAGCACCAACGAACGTGTGAACGGTATGCGCTTGCTATTCGCATGCTGACTCGGTGAGTATCAGTAAAAAAACGTTAGCCGTATCAATAGCGTAATCAGTTCATAGAATTGCATTATCGCTTTCAGATTTATTTAATTTATTATGAATTTTATATTCCGTGACCGTATTAGAGACATTTTAGATCGGTTTGACGCGAGGGTAGTGTATTGCTTTGTGACGTCATCATAAGCGATGATACGAAAAGCTAGATACTGACACTATGCGACTATATTGTCGAAAATGCATTGGATTTGCTGCCTAAAAAAGTAATCTCTTTCAAGTAAATTTACAGAATGTAAAATATATATTAAAGTGTGTATTTTCCGAATTTTGCTGTTTCGCCATTTAAATGGTGGATTTCTTGTAGGTTGTTTACGGTTTATTTTTGGCGTTTGTAATCTTTTGCGATCTAATACTGTGTGTGATCATTGCTACTCTATCATCTATGTATTTGCTGCTAAGCCGTAATGCGTTCATTTTGAGCAAGAAAAAAATACGTGCAAGATTGTTAATCAACTAGCCAATTCGAGTGAGGACACGCTTTTGGGAAAGCCCGTGCGCTCATCGCAGGCGAGCTTTATATTTCTGGTGTTTAACAGTTACCAAAGTCCATTAACAACTAGACTCTCCTTGCACCTTGAGATATCACGTTTTAGAGGTTTATCAATGTAAGTTTCAAAGCTAAAAATCGAAATTTCAATAAAATGTACGTTTGATTTCAATATTCACCCACAACAGCCTTTCCAACAAATTCACAACCTTTCATTATATTGAAAATGAATATAAAATTGTCAGAAACACAAAAATGAACTTCAATAAAGGAAGAGCCATTTTGGAGATTATTTAAAAAAAAAAAACATTTTGTCTCTTATTTAAAAACGTATCTGGTTTTTATACATGCCTAATTTAGATACTGTTTTAATTTACAAGAATAAAAATATAAAATCAACCAGATGCCGATGGTTGCATATTTGTTTGCCAAATTTAATTATACAAATAAGATTTCAATAAACTTACATAAACCTACATTATTTTTGTATACTTTAGCTTAATTTTTTCCTTTTAGGACCGAATTTATAAGACAGTCTTTGAAGTTTCCATGCATTCAATCGCACTAGTTATTTTATTTTCAACGAAAAAAATACATAATACCTCGAAATTAATAGTTGATTAAAAAATAGGAGTAACGATAAAGCCGCCATTTTGAATTCACAAATCAACTAGTGCCATCTGTTGAAGTTTTAACGAAAACAAAATTGGTAATCGCTTTCTATGATTTTATTAGCTTACGCAGACGAAGGTAGTTTAGTATTAAATTCAATCGCCTTTCATACGTATAATGCGAACAGGCTGCCATGTCAAGAGTGCAGGTAAAAAAAAATAACACTTCACATTACCAATGGAAAATATGGCTTTTTTAGTTAACTTAGAATATTAAAAAGAAATACGTCTCATAATTAGAACACGATTTCGTTTAGGCAAACGGAAAACAACACCGAGTTAGGCTATGGGCTAGTTTATATATGCATTTATTTTAAAAACATTTTTTAATTGATTACGATTTTCCTTCTTTGAAAATTACAAATTTAACGCGGACGAAACCGCGGGATGCACCTCATTGTTCTCATAAAGCGTAACCAACAAAGAAGGGTCAAGCGCTGTTCGATTCCCCCGCTGTCCCCAAAGGGGGGGGAGGGGCGAATAGTTATTTACTCTCGCCCAAAAAAAGGCTAGAGCTTTTGTGTTTTTGGCACGCGATAGCACCAATTATTATTTTAAACTTCTTCATAATCATCATAACCACATATATACGTACGTTTCAATATGAGAGATATGTTAAAGAGAAATCGAATAAGTCGTTTTTGATGCTTCAAACATATTCTCGAGCTTCGAAATGAATGTATAATATTTGAATATAAGTTTAGTATTTTGTAGAGCTACCAGACATATAGAAATGCATATCCAGAGAGATATAATATTAGTCTTAAATCTAACACAACATCGATCTAAGTTCTAAAACATTAAACATTTGAAATAACATTCATAAACATTTTATATAATAAGGGATAATATTAGTAATGCATGGTGTCATTAAAAAAAAAAAAATTACAAAAGTAGTTACAGTTTAATTATAATTATTTAAAGAAATTTATTTTCGAAAAATAATCGTTATTCTGTTATGTAATATTGACCCATGAATTACTAATATTCTCTTAGAAGTCAACCATCTATGGTCGCTTTTAGATTTTTGAGCGTCACATCCGGGTATAATCGAAAACGAAAAACGGACTTGTATGCAAAATACAATAAAAATAATAAAAAGAATAATCTGTGTGTAAATTCTTACACGTGTCCAAAATCAAAGCAAGTGTGTGGTTACATTTATTTGCGTCGACGTCGTGAGATCGAAACGATTTAAGGAATGTATGAATGAATTATTTATTTTATTTCAGACAACAATAAGTCCATATGTGTACATAGTATCATTGAAATATAATTAAAATTAACAAAACCAATCAAATAAAAAAGATACATTTATTAAAATAATTATCAGTTGAAGAATACATTTCAAATATTCCATTCAACCATTCGAACCAACCATTATTATTATTATTATTATTTAGTCCGCAAGTGAACCATGGTACCATGGACTTGTTGTCTGAAATAAAATAAATCATTCATCATTCATTCATTCATTATTATTATTAATGATAGTTGGGTCTGGTGCTAGCGTCGGCCGGTGGGTGGACGCGGAATCCTTGCATGTCGTCATCGTCCTCGTCGTAGAAGTACTGGTCGTAGTCGAGGGTCAGTCGTCGGGGGCTTCCGTTGCCTGATGACGTGTCGCTGCCGTCCAGCGACGTCTCATGTCATATGTCGCGCTTCACGTTCAGTATCGGAGCGCGGCATAACGGGCACTCGCGGAGCTGAGCAGCGCATTTCGAGCAGAATCCCCTGGTAATAGAAAACAATAATTAAATATGACATCTTAAGGATAAAATTGTATAAATAAAACTTGATAGTAAGTTAATTGAAAATTTCAGTTTTTAATCACACACACACCCACACACACACACACTCACATATACACGAAAATTAAACCTTATCATAAAACTTCTGAACTATTGCCAAAAAGGAAAAAAAAAAACTTCTGAATACAGATTTATAAATACATAAAATTTTATATTATCTGATGAATTACTTGTGGAAGCATGGCTCCAAGGTGCAGTCCGCGACGGCATCGTAGCAAAGAGTGCAGGCGTTTTCGGGGATGCTAGCATTCCTCACCTTCTCCAGGTAGTAGCGGCGAGGTAGCACCTGTGATTATACATTTTTTTTAATTCACAACGACATTTTTTTTTGCTTCAACGATTCTAAACTAACTAGCCAATGGTGATTTGCCTGTTTTGAGAATTTCTTATGGTAACTATTTACAGTCAAACCTGGGTAAGTGAGAACTGGATAAGTGAGAAAACTCTGTAAGTGAGAGTAATAGCCAGGACCCGTCATTTTAAGCTCCCAAAACCTCTGTTAGCGAGAAACAGAAACCTCTGTAAGAGAGAGTCGTATTACCCTCATGGACCTCCGTAAGTGAGACTGTTACTTATCTATACCTCTATAAGCGACAGTCGAGCTTTTTTAGTTATATTATTTAGGAGAAACAAATGACAAAACAAATTACAAATTGAACATCTGCTATTTTATGACTCATTCCTAACTTTTGTGGAACTTCCTACCATTGTTTTTGTATTGTTTTCTTGTCAATGTTGAACCTATTCTATTTCGTGGAACTAAATAACGTTGTTATTTTATCGCATTCTTTTCGAATGGACACGTGTACCTGTGTACCGTCCTGTTTGTCGGACTTACTCAGTTTATCGTTAATCAATTGCGAAGGAAAGTTTTGTTCTGCATCTTGTCAAAACGGAAAATTAAACTACTGTCATTAGGTGATAAACTTAAAATAGTGAATGCGTTTGAATCCGGATCGCGAAATGAAATTGAGAGGGTGCATTAGCAAGAAACTCGGGTTAGTGAGAAACCTCTATAAGCGAGAATGAGATTGTGCTCCCTTGAACTCTCGCTTATCCAGGTTTGACTGTATTTTCATTCCTTATTATAAATCAGATAAAATCACACAATCTTTGTTTGTATATTGGCGATTGTGGTATGAAGCTTTCAATTGTTTCATCGTTATCTCAATTATGATTTTTATCGTTAAAATACTTTCAAGCAATATTCGTCTTCTCGCATTAAAACTGTATAATTTCAAAAACTCACTAATTTAACATGAGAGTGTTTTAAAGGTTTTAACATGTTATATTTTTAATATTAATCATATTTGCAACATTAATTTTTTATTTTTTACCAGTTACATTATCTATTTTTTAAAGTAATATAAAATTATGTATTAATTTTGTTAATAGTAGTCAAAACATAGGTAAACTAAAAAAAAAAAACTAAACTACGTTCTTTTGACAGTATTTATGAGAAAAATACTGGTGATGCCACATGTTTACGCATATTAACTCGAATTTCGAATATTTTTGGAAATTGTACACTTTTAATGCGAAAAAGCGATTTGTCATAAACTACTACTAATTACTAGAAAATAAATTACCTTTTTCTCTTCGTCGGTGAGACGCGCGTAATCGTTGAAGGCCATGAAGGGCCTGTCAGTTGGAGGAAACGAAAACGGCAAATGACCGAAATTGAATCGGCACTGCTGGAACGCCATGAAGCTAGCCGCAGCGAAGAAACCTTGTTTGCAGCACCTGTACATAAAGACAATAATCACATAAGGTAAACTAGACGATGACGATGCTAGGATTTTTTTTTTTGATGACGCCATATTTTGTCTTTAAAGCAGTTAGTTGCTCTCAATTAAGAAAAATAGTATTATTATTCCCCAATAGATGTCGGGAAGAGTCATAAAGTTCATTATCGATAAAGTTGATTATTGAAAACACGAACAAAACAACATTTTCTGAAAATAAATCGTAGCTAGATCGATTTATCGCCCCCGAAATACCCTGTATACTAAATTTTATAAAAATCGTTTTAGCCGTTTCCGAGATTCAGATTATATATATACAAGAATTGCTCGTTTAAAGGTATAAGATATATAAGACAAACATTTATATTCCTCTAGTAAGCATATCTACTATTTCAATACGACTTCAACTTGGTAGGGTATTTCAATGAGTTAGCTGAAGACTATAAAAATTGACAAATCAATCAATCAACACATATAATTGAAGACATGAGTGGATGAAGGGGTTATGTAGGTACAATATTTAAGATTTTTGAGTTTTTACATTGAATGAAGGTGTTTACATTGAATGAAGGTGTTATGTGCCTGTAAACCATATTAGATCTTAAAATTCCGGGCTTAAAGGCTATTTTTAGAAATCGCACGTGACGAAGGAGTTATGCACGAAGGAAAAGTACAAGTAACAAAAGTTTGTTGCCCGTTTTCTCAAAATTAACAAATTGTATCACATCCCCTTCATCTCTTGTCTTCAATTATATATTTATAGTATCAAATTATATATATATGTGTTGGAGGTAGTCTGAAAGTGGCACCTGTGACAATGGAATGGTATGGACATGTGATAAGACGAAATGAAAATGAGGTTGGTAAGTGAGTGTTAACTATGAATGTGGAAGGATAGATGAAGAAGTAGACCTAAGAAGAAATGGATGGATTGCGTGAAAGACGATATGTGTTAGAGGGGAGTGAGCGAAGAAATGGTATATGATAGAGGAGTATGGAAGGAGAAAACATGTTGCGCCGAGCCCAGGTGACTGAGAGAAGGGCAGTAAAACAGCGGTCAGGGAACCGGAGTAAATTACCACAAATGGGGTAAAATTTTATTTTGGGGGATAAAAATGAAACTTTGCGGAGTAAAAAGGATAAATATTTTCCTAACTGTATATTACTATTATTACCGTTATGTATTACTAGGTATTATTTTGTTCGTAAATTGAATAAATTATGTTTAAATTAAATTTTTAGTTATCGTTTTCTTTTCAAAATTATCATGGGGCTATAATAATATGAAGATGCTAAAAATAAGCGATTTCGTTTTTTTTTGTTCTTCGCCATGCGGTAATATCAACTTACACAAAACTATTTTGGGGTAATAATTAAAAAAGTTCCCTGACCGCTGCAGTAGAATCATGAGGATGATCACCTGGTTGTCTCGAAGATTTCGGTGCACGGTGTAAGACAGCGCCCGTTGAGGGAGAATATTGCCTCGCGCGTGTTCAGATCGATGAGACAGCCGAGTATGTCTCCGGGCTGCCACTCCGGTAGATCTTGGACCGAAGCGGGCTTGGCCTTGTACCAAATCAACTTCCTGCACCCGTCGTACGAGAGCGAATACAAATCGTCGCCGATACCGTAGCCCTCCTGTTTTTAAATCGAAAACACACTTAATGAGAATCACTACATAGTATAAAACAGAGTCGCTTTCTCTGTCCCTATATCCCTATGTATGCTTAAATCTTTAAAACTATGCAACTGATTTTGATGCGATTTTTTTTAATAGATAGAGTGATTGAACAGGAAGGTTTATCTATATATTAATACGTGAAGCAAAAACTTTGTATCCCTTTTTCGGAGGAGTATGAAATTTTCCACACTTAGAGAATATAGAGAAGAAGTGCACAATGCTAATATTTTTTTAAAATAATGCATAAAAGATACATTTATTAAATAAAGAAAACATTACACATACTACCATGTATTCGACACACACATGCGTGCATAATATTTGTTTATTGTCAAACTTTTCTCATTGCATATAATCTGTAGTTAAATTGAGAATAGATTAATATTGTTTGTCTTTAATATTATTTGTCTATATTGTGGTCTGGGCGAAATCTGTGATTAAAGAAGTATAATAATAGTCTTTGACAATAGAACCATGGTAATTAATGTTCAAACCTATAATTTCAATTAATTATAGTGGAATTTCGACTACTGGAGGACCACTAGTCTCTATAAATATCTCATATAGTACATATATGCCAACAAAATGATTTATTTCAAATTATTGATAATAAAATTATATAGTTTAAAAATCAAGAAACTAAGGATAAAAGCAAAAGTGGTATCATTCAAAATAACAGTTCCGGTTTTGAATCGAAAAGCATAATTATAAAGATTTAGTGTTTGGATGAATTAGTTCAATATGTTATAGAATTGGGAGCTAATTAATTGCATGCTATAAATAAATTTACAGACGTCAGCAACGTAATTATCAAAATTTGTTTAATATTCTTCGTGTGAGTCAGAATTTCCAAACGACCGGCAACTCATTTGGCAATAACCCTCTACCTTGCACTACCATTTCCATACATCATGGGCTCAGCCAGGAGTGGAATTTGCTAACAGCTACCCGAGCGCCTCCAAAGGAGATCTAACAACTCTAGTGTAACTGCTTCGCAAACTACCAGATCGAAATCGCGACTCGCCGAGAAGATCCGGCGAGAAACTCAGCGGTTTGAGGTTTCGGTTAGGTTGCACGTCGGACTCTTTGCCGAGTTCGACGAGTACCGTTACCGATTTTTTTTTATTGCCCTTGTAGGCAGACGAGTACACGGCCCACCTGATTACCGTAGTACGTAGTTACCGTCGCCCATGGACTTCAGCAATGCCAGGGGCAGAGCCAAGCCGCTGCCTACCGAATTCTGTAGTCTGGATACTACTACACTTACATGGTTCAGAAAATGGCTGTTCTTGGTGGCCCACCCGATCTGCATGACGCCAGGCGTGACAATCGTTACCTCGTAGTACCAACAGCCATTGTCCACCTTAATGGGAATTTTAAAATAAAATAAATATTACCAATAATATTATATTATACAATATAGAGGGTAGACAGGTCTAAAATTAATAAATGCTGTGGCTATGCGACATACATAATAATATGTACTTAATGATAATTGGATGGGAGATTGATAAACATACTTATTTACGTTTAAATACACACATATACTAGTTGTTAAGTGCGGTTTCATTCGCGTGGTCAGGAAGAAGTGTCGGTGTAGTTTTCCGTGCTAATGAGATGTTTTTCAAGATAAAAGGTAATCTATGTCACTTCCCTGATTTACTACTATTACGTTAAAAACGTCATATCAGTCAGTCGTTTCGTCGTGAAAGATGGATATTCGAACACACTTAGACATTTATAATATTAGTACGGATATATGTAACCTATGAAACGAATAATAATCCTCCTTTTAATTTATTCAGGAAAATGTCCAATGACGTTTTCTTACTATACAATGAGGTATCGATCTAAAGAAATAAATTTTCTTTACAAAAATGTATATTGTATTTGGATATTATGAACAACCACTAACAAATAACAAAAGAAGGGGAAAGATGAAAAAAAAAACAGAATATTGACGAATCTAAAAATTCATTCAGTAACATTAAAAAATATGTATTTATTTATTGTCTTTGTAGGCAGTTGAATGTACGGCCCAACGAATGGGGCGTGGTTCCCTTAGCTCATAGACGTTAGCAATGCCAGGGTATACTCCGTAGGCCTCGTTTGAAGAAGGACAATTTAAATGGTGAATCTCAGTATTGATATCGTGACAATGAGGGTAGGTCAACAAAACGCACCTGGAAAGTGCAGCGTACGCTTTCAAACGAGTACGAATCGCAGCGCGCCTCTAGGCCGTTGCAAGATATCTTCAGGTATTCGCTGACGTCATGCGAATTCAGGATCACGTTTATAGGAGTCATGTTGACGGTCTCGTACGACAGAGGCCTGTTCTCGATTACAACTGGAAAATGAGAATATAATTATATTTAACGCTTTTTATCGGTGTGCTTAGTGCGAGTTTTCTTAACTTCTCGATCGCGTTAAAGTTAACTCGCTAACTAAGCTAACAGCCTCCATACGTTTGCCGCTAGGGACGCTGCTCCAACATCATACAAATTTTAGTTAAACTTTAGGGTGTATTTAGACTGAAGAGAGTTAACTTTTACGCGATCGAGAAGTTAAAAAAAATTCGCACTAAGCTCACGGATTACGTTTTTTTTTAAATATAATTTTTATTTACAGATACGACAAAGACATATCAGAGCTGCAACGGACTGTGTTTAATCCGACTTTAGAATTAAAAAAAGAGACTGTTTTTTTATAAATTTTACATTTGCCGAAGTTTCGAATAATTTACACTTACGGTCAGTCGTTTTATTTATAATACAATAGATGGACCAAAATTGTTCACTAGTTGGAAAATATAATGCGAATGCTACCGCTCTCAACTTAAGGTATGAGGTTCATAGCTCACAATACGACCTACTACTAAGCACTAAATTTAATAAGTATATTTAAAAAATCAATCATCATGACTGATGTCACATTACATGTGGACAACGGTTTAATTCCCATTTTAATTGATCTAATACCTTAATAACAAAGCCTTGAATGTTTTCTTTGATTTATTGTCCATTTAACGACTTGCGCAATCTTAGAGAATGCTTTCTCTTGTATTAGAGATTATCTTATCGAAATTCTGTATATTTAAAATGTAACAATAATTTTTTTCCCTGGCTAGACCGAAATTAATACTTTTTTTATTTCTCTTGTAGACAGACCGGAATACGGCCCACCCGATGGTGAGTGGTTACCGTCGCCCATGGACTTCAGCAATGCCAGGGGCAGAGCAAAGCTGGAACCTACCGCAATTACCATTTTAAACATTCCCGAAATATTATTGTACAAATACCTCCGGGAAGAGTTTATTAAAGAAAAATAAACTTACACAAGTTGTCGAGGGCCCACTGAGCACAAAAGCCAACCTGCCTCCAGACATAATCTTCATTATTGGCAAGTTTCTCGAGTTTCAGAAGTGGATTCACGTCTTCTTTGTCGAAGCGGCTTCTTATCACCAGCTTGTTTTCGGTGGTGTGAGCAAACTTCTCAAGGGCGATTAGTGCGAAGAGCACTATGCACGGCTCGAAGTTGGTGTCCTTTGAAATTCATTAATCTTTTTGGTACCATTCTTAATAAGTTGTAGGGTATTTTTGACATGCGCGACGATGAGTAAGAGCTCTTATTACCAAAAGCTTCTCATACTGGGGAAGGTCCAGGGTAAGAGGGAGCCGATGACGTCACATATCCTAATTTTTTTTTTATTGCTTAGATGGGTGGACGACCTCACAGCCCACCTGCTGTTAAATGGTTACTGGAGCCCATAGACATCTACAACGTAAACGCGCCACCCACCTCGAGATATAAGTTCTAAGGTCTCAGTATATGTAGTTACAACAGCTACCCCACCCTTCGAACCGAAACGCATTACTGCTTCACGGCGGAAATAGGCGGGGTGGTGGTACCTACCCGTGCGGACTCCCAAGAGGTCCTACCACCAGTGATTACGCAAATTATAATTTTGCGGGTTTGGTTTTTATTACACGATGTTATTCCTTCACCGTGGAAGTCAATCGTGAACATTTGTTGAGTACGTATTTCATTAGAAAAATTGGTACCCGCCTGCGGGATTCGAACACCGGTGCATCGCTACACACGAATGCACCGGACGTCTTATCCTTTAGGCCACGACGACTACATATTGAAATAAATAATACTAATTGAAAAATGTACGCCAGTGGCACGCACTGGTGGTAGGACCTCTTGTGAGTCCGCACGGGTAGGTACCACCACCCCGCCTATTTCTGCCGTGAAGCAGTAATGCGTTTCGGTTTGAAGGGTGGGGCAGCCGTTGTAACTATACTGAGACCTTAGAATTTATATCTCAAGGTGGGTGGCGCATTTACGTTGTAGATATACATATATGGACTCCAGTAAACACTTAACATTAGGTGGGCTGTGAGCTCGTCCACCCATCTAAGTAATAAAAAAAATGAAAAAATCCACAATTAAAGTAACAGCTGTAGCTCTAATGTTGCCATCGTCTGATAGTAGGCAGCAGTTAGTAGTTTTTTTGGGAAAGAAGAATTACTGATCGGAGAAGTACTCAAGGCCTTTCCAGTTTCATCAGGACATGGCTCAGGTGGGGTGTGATTTGCTAACAGTAGCCCGAATACCTCCGAAGGGGTCCTAACAGTTCAAGGGTAGTTGTGAATGCGTAGACGTAGTAGACTACAGGATCAAAATTACGGCCCATTGAAAAACTCAGGGGCCCAATCTTATATATTAGGTTTCATGTTGAACTCTTCGAAGAGTTCGTTTACCAGGGTCTCTATGTTTGCTCTTAGTGTTAGAACTTCAAGCAATTAATAAGTGTGCGTGGATCAGATGAAAGATGGCAGTAGAAGAAGTTCCGTTGCAGTAATGTTGTTGTCCATAGATATACTTTAGCGTAAATTTTCCGAGGGCCATAGATATAGGAGTAGAAAATTTAGAAACTGCTGCTGCTGATCCTGCCTAAAATCCGTAATTTGCTTTTTGCGACACCAGAAGAAAGAGATGGTATGATAGGCGATTTGGCTATGATCATTCGACTGATCGAATGGAATTATGTTGGCAATCGACTAACAGCCATCGTCGGTAAGCCAAACAGGTGGGTCGTTAGAAAGCCAACCCAATTCAATATAAAAAAATAAAGAAGTATTGAAATGTAGACTAAAATATGGCCAGGTCATAAAAGACTTCAATACACTCAACGTTGCTTTATGGATTCGTTCAAAATTTCTGTTCGTATTCCATTCGGCACGTACGATTGAATTGAAAGGAGATAAAACATCGCGCATGTCTCAACGGCGCAACTGTATTGATCGCCCGAGCCATTCAACAAGGGGATGGGATGTCACCTTGTACGATATTTTTAGCATCTGAACGACTTGGCCCCCTACTATTTATTTGTATTATATATTATATCAGATATCGTACGGTTACAATCATTATATACACTTTTTTAATAAGCAAACTAACTTTCAGCAATCATTATTAGTTATTAATAAATTCAAACTTGATACATTCCGGTTCTCATGAAGTAAATTAGTTTTTGTGTGAATTTTTCGTGTTACCAAAATATACATATATTGTTCTAATAACAGTTCATCAATAAGCGTTTTATATACATACATTTATATACATTATAAAAATTCTTTTTAGGAAATAATTTTGATGAGTCAACTTGAAAAACTTAATATGTCATTTCATTTCAATTCAAATGTCACTATGTACATACAGAAAATTACAGCCACGAGTAAAATCAATAGGCCGACCTCCGCACAGAAGGGGAACGTTACCTTGACGATTAATCTCTTACACGAGGCATTTAATGCGTAAACAACTTATCTTAATTTATTTTCGCATAACCTATCGACTTCATCATGTACTTACAGAGAAACCTCTCTACCACGCACACGATTCTAGTCAAAGTATTGGAAATGAGCGGAGATTAGTGACTTTAGACGATTTATGACACGACTTCGAATTCTTTTCCCAACTTATTCGCTGGTAGCCTCGGGGACTGTTTCAGCTACGTCCGGTAGGTGAGCTCACGGGCTCAACCCGAGCGAATTTGCTAGTACTAGCCCTAGCAAGAGCAGTGCGTCCCAGAATCTACCACCAGATCGGAATCGCGACTCGCTGAGAAGATCCGACCAGAAATTCAGTAGGCACACGAGCTCGAAGTCACTAACGCGTTGAACGAGTGTCATTTCCTTCGAACCGGAACGCACAACTGCTTCGAGGTGGAAATGGGCAGGATGTTAACCACCGGTGCACTCTCGCAACACTCACACATTTAAATTATTCCATCATGCAAAAATCGATTTAAATTTTTCGTTTAGAATAACAGTCGTATACGAGCACACTAATAAAGAAATCAGATTTTGTAGCTTTCAAATGTATTTAGATCTCGCACCAATGCACAAATTCTTAATCAATATCGTTACTAAGTATTAATGTTTTGATTATTATTATTGCACGTTTGTTTGCAAGAACGAATTCATTGAAAATTAAAGATTATTATCGATATATGTCGTACTTTTACGGAATTATTTCGCATTTATTATTTTAATTTTTACTCTAATTTCAATTGTGTACGTAAGTATTTAGATGTTCCAATAATATTGGAATAACTAACAAACTCTCACGTAGGCTTTGTACCGGATTAATAGTATTAGCGGAGAATAGTATTACCCACCCGATAGAGAATAGTATTACCCACCCGATAGAGCTTACAATACGCGCAAACACCATTGAAATTGGGCGACAGAAAAATTACAATTTCTCCATCAACACAATGTACCAATCAAACTAATAAATACAATTACGTGGCAAAACAACCAGACAACGTTCAATAACAGATTTCGACAAATTGTATCTCTAAAACCTTCAATATACAAATTAGATTTGGATAGATATTGGAGTTCTTAACGTGCGAGACAGATGATAGAAATGTGGTGTCTTAGTAATTATGAATTTCAGATAGACCGGGCACCTCATGCATAGCTTCAGTGTAAATACAATCAGTGCTAACCGAAATCCGCGATACCGGTATCCGACTGTTGCATCTATTCATGTTCAATATAATAAAACACAACACGTGCATTGAACGATTATTATTATTATTAATAATAAAAACGGCTCCCTAAATTCTTCTCGAATTTCAAGTTTTCGTCGGTGAGTGTCATCTGTCATTTTCCCGCAAAGCAAGTTTTGATGTTGGACGAATACAATTTTTGCTAGGACGAAGTTGAGACGTTTATTCCTAATAAATTTATTTTCGAACAGATTTTAGCTTCGTTTGCGCTGATCGACTCTTTACAAAGCTCTTAAAAGCTCGCTCGCTTAAAAGCCGTTTTTGTTTTATTGTTAATTTGCCGAGCGTTTAACGCAGGGGTCTTGTATTCGATGTTATTCCGAAAGCGTCGCCTCCCGCCTTCTCTTGAACGTGCCATTAGTCAGGACCTGGCATAAACACCATTGTCCCGAGAAATTCGAGTTATTTATAACTTTTACGAAAGAACCGACGCACTTACCGCCCACTGAAGCCCCAAAGAATATGCTTCTTTGTATAGATTTAAGAAAGAACCGACGCACTTACCGCCCACTAGAAAGCCAAAGAATCAACTTCTATTTACGTACTCGTATTACGTAGTTTTTTTTGCCCTTGTAGGCAGACGAGCATACGGCCCACCTGATGGTGTGTGGTTACCGTCGCCCATGGACTTCAGCAATAGCTCAGCAATGGCAGAGCCAAGCCGCTGCCTACCGTTATAGGTCCTTTGAGCTTAACTAAATACATCATAGTAATTAACGATTAACGCGTAATAAACGCGATAACAAACTATCATTAGACGACATCTTGGAAACTACCAAACTCATAAAATTAGTAGGTACTAAAGTGGCTATATTTAAACATTATAATCTTCAAGAAATGTCACGAAAATATTCAATTCCAATAACGGTGCAATGTTATGAAATTGAAGCTCATTTAGTTAAACAAACAATCCGTGCCTTGTGAGGTTCTTAATAACGGATCACATTGTTGCCGATAATACTTTACGTTCCTTCGATTTTGTTTCAGAATGTTATTGAAATCATCGAAATGAAACGTGGCAGAGGTGCCCTCTAATCTACCTATACAAAATCGATGGGTATGTATGTATGTTCCCTATAGACTCCGAAATGTCTGGAAAAATTTCAATATTTTTTTTGGAAGTCTTCTGATTTGCCCAACGTAGTCCTGTACAGGGTCTGAACGAAGATCGGCCAGCAAAGCGGGCCGGGTTGGACTACTTTATTCCTAAGGTTCGATTAAAATTATTGGAGCTAATATAAAAGTACTTTCTTTGATTTATGTACTTATGGTAGGTAGTTTAAGGCTTAGCTAGACAACATTGCGTACGAACCGAAATATGTATATGTACTTATTGGCATAAACTCTATCCCGACACTAACATAAAATAAAATTTCCGTTGTTCTGATGTAATCGTATAAAGAGCAAATTGAGAAAAAAATATATATAGCGCCTATCAGACCATTATCATTTCAAATACTTAAACCAACACCTGCTGGTAATTTCTTAAATATTAAACTCAAAGCATAACTTACGGAAGAAAAGGTAACTATTATAGTTTTTTTTTAATTCATTGCTTCGATGGGTGGACGAGCTCACGGCCCACATGGTGTTGAGTGGTTACCGGACCCCATAGACATCTACGACGTAAATGCCGCCATGATATGAGTTCTAACGGCTGCCCCACTCTTCAAACCGAAACGCATTACTACTTCACGGCAGAAATAGGCAGGGCGCTGGTACCTACCCGCGTGGACTCACAAGACGTCCTACCACCAGTAAAAATTATCTTGGAAATTCATACTAACCAGAAATGCAAGGAGAAAGTCGAGCGTCTCTTCAGTGAGTACAGCGACGCTGTTCGGGCCCGCCAGTTTCTCGGCAATACACCCGAGGACAACGCACATATTGCGTTTCATCTTCACGTCGAGGGCGTTCGAGAGTGCACGTTGCCTCGAAAGCCGGAACAGTTTCGTTAGCTGCAATGAAATCGGTATCAACCGCAATGACCGCAGATTGCCGATGTAGATAATGTGATTCTCAGACTTTAGAAGAATTTATGTCGGGAATGTAATGTATAGATTACTTTTATATTTAAAAATCGAATGATAGATTATTATTGAGAGTATGTGCTTTAACATTGTCTAAGGTAATATCGAAATGTTTTGTCAAACAAGAATAGGCAATTTCCAAAAACTTTTCTTAGAGAATCAAATCTTTTGGTACCAATTACCTAATAAAAATAAAATCTTTACGTTACATTGAAATATAACGACGCCTGAAAGGCAAACGTGACTAAGCGACAATGCGTGAACTTTACAGTAGACTAATTTAAAGTTGAAATACCTGAAAACAAAATTTATTTTAACGAAACTAGCTATAGTAGAATCTAGCTAGTAGCTGTAGGACTGAAATGATTTTAATAGACCTAGAAAAAAAAATTTTTTTGCACAGCGAATATGGTTGTTGCCTACCATTTATGTACAAAGCAGTTATTGTCGCTTAGTCATGTTTGCCTTTCAAGCGTCGATAAGGGCTCGTGTCTACAATACGATGCATGATATCTGGATACCTTATACACCTATCAATTAATTAGCATTAGTTATTAGGAGCACTGTGGATGAGTCAGAGCCTCATAGTTGAAAAAATCGCGCTCCCGTTCTTAGATTGAATTATTTTAGCAATAGGAAGGTAGGTAGTCCGACTAACGACGGTAATTGAATGTTACTAAATGCTCCCCTCTACTTAAACAAACAAAAAAATATTCAAGCTTGCGAGGCTATCTACATTACAAACTCCCACTATCTACCGGGAAGTTAAATGAAAAAATCGCTATGAGAACCCGTTAAATTATAGTGTATGGAAAGTCAATAACATTTGTTCATTATCCGTGGACAATCTTGATGTATATACTTAATGTGTAAGGTAAAAAATTCACCAGACTTGGAACGCCCAAAGCGACGGTAAATAGTAGTCTACCAGAGTTGTCCTCATAAATTTGTACTTCGCACATTTATTGTACGTGTGCACTGTGCAATGGATACAGCGTACCGCAAGAATAACTTCGACCTATTTATTTAAGAACGTTAACGACTCGACTCTTGACACTAGGAGTCAATACTCGCAATATGCTCATCTTGATTTACAGCTCAATTGTTCTTCGCATTCATATACTTTTTGAACTAAATTAAAATTCATTAACATGATATTATTCTACATTACCTGCCAAAAGTTTGGAAGCATCCAGTTAAAATATAATAAAAGATATATAAAAATGAATTGCTGTTCCTAAGTCTCGCTAAAACTCGAGAACGGCTGGACTGATTTGGCTAATTTTGGTCTTAAATTATTTGTGAAAGTCTAGAGAAGGTTTAAAAGGTAGATAAATATGAAAATGATCTGAATTAAATAAAAATAACAATTTTGTTTGTCCTTTGATGTGTCCCCCGTCGGTAGGATTCCTTTTGTTTGTTTTAAGTTTATTTTATACAAAAGCTTAGGTCTTTTATTTATCGATTGAGGCACTACGAAGTCTGCCGGGTCAGCTAGTAAAAAATAAAAATGTCGTAAAATTATTATTTTGACTTTTAATTAAAAATTAAACAAAAATGAATATGAACACAATAAGAATTTAACATACAATATGAATATTGACTTAAGCTTTACTCCGATGAGGCATTGCAATTTGCACCTTTTTCTTTTATTATCTTCTCGCATATTCTAATTTTCATCCAACTTTTTTGGCTCTCCAATAATTGCCACAAATATTCCAAGTTTGTTGGTGTTTACCATTCTGTGGAGTTCATCCCAAACAAGTTTAATGGGAGACAAGTCAGCTGATTAGGATAGCCATTGCATGTTTTAAAAATCGTTTTTCGTGTTCAGAATGTTCGGACACAAAATTTCCACGAATGCTTAGGATCATTGTCTTGTTGAAAAGTGAATTCAGGACTGATGTAATTCTAGTTCACATCTGTTTCAGTTTATTTCGTTCTCCGGTTGTCCTTACAAGACTTCCGGCTTATTATTGTCAAAACACCCCAAGCCATAACATTACCACCACCGTATTTGATAGTAGTCACTGTACATACTTCTGAAGTTCTCACTACTTTGGATTGGTGTGCAAGCATATTTTCTTTTGGATGTGGAAATTTGAATTTTTGATTAGTTGCTCCTAAGGACATTTTCGATTTTATCTATTGTCCAATTTCTATGCACTTTTGCTCATTCTAACCCACTTTTATTGTGTCGACCATTTATCATGGTTTTTTAGCAGCAACTTTTCCTCTTAGTCCCCAAAGTTGGTGGACTTCTTTTAACAGTTGTTAATGAAACAGCTTTAATGAAGTTCTCCTCTTGATTTGTTTTGCATTTGGGTCTATCTTCATTTTTCTTAGTTTCTTGTTTTCTAGCAAATGTGTAGAAATTCTGAGTCTCTGTGCTATTTGACATTCACTGTACTTTTCCTTGCGTGGTGTACAAATAGCGCTTGTCTCTCCTAGTGTAATTTGCATGTGTTACCATTTTCAGAAAAAAGGTCGCGTCAAATCTGTAGCAAGTAATCGCAAGATTTCGATCTTGCGATTACAGACAATACTAATATCACAACCTTAACGTGCCATTGCTCAAGTGCGACTAAATAAAGTCCAAAAAAATGTAGAATAGTAAAAAAATTAAAAAAAAAATTACACAATTTCATAAAAGAAAGCGGCCGACAGATTAAGTCATAAAATATGTGTTTCGTCAAAATTAAGGAATTTGTTAAAGCTTGAACATGCGGTATATGATAAGCCTACTGTTTTTGTATGAAGTGTCGTAAGAAATATTTTTAATACAATATTTTACAACATAGTGTCGGCGATGTTCATTTTTGTTTAAAAACCATGTGTGTTTCCAAACTTTTCGACGATAGTGTATTTATTATGCCGTTTGGGTAAAAAGTTCAAAAATATACCATAATTTTCGTTTAAGTCTATCGTTTTGGTTGTAATCCGTAGATTTGACGATAGCGTTATGAAGTTACGTGTAGAATTTTAACGCGAATCGTGTCTAGCGTTGTATAAAAATTTATGCTCAAAAAATTAAAGACATGAGCGGATGAAGGGGTTAATAGGTACCATTTTTAAGATTTTTGAGTTTGTACATTGAATGAAGGTGTTATGTGCCTATAAACCATATTAGACGTTAAAACTCTGGGTTTAAAGGCTATTTTTAGAATTTGTGTGTGATGAAGGAGTTATGTACGAAGAAAAAGTACAAGTAACAAAAGTTTGTTGCCCGTCTTCTCAAAATTAACAATATCCCCTTCATCCACCCATGTCTTCAATTATATACTTAACGTGAGCTCAGTATATGCGATCTATGTAATGTTATCCGTTACTACTTCAGAGAAAGATATAAGTTCTGTTCATTTTAATTTTTTCTAAACTATGGCGGCCTTCCTCTTGTATTTTCAGTGGTTTCTGCAGTGGAAGCACCTTAAAAAATCGATCCTAAAACGTTCACGTATCACGTTCTCTGCCCGACATTAGATTTCTTTGTATCAGTTACAGCATCCGACTATCTTAACCTTTAAGTCGAAACGCACTTTACTTCGCGACCGAAAAAGTTGTATCCAAAAGAATTAAGATGATGAAAATGTTTTGAAAATAGGATATCTACTGCTGTCGCAAATAGACGATATGGAAATAGTACCGGCTTCTGATTAATTGCAGTGCACGCTGTTATCAATAAGATTCTACGACCTAAATTCATTCAACAGTTCAATAGCTAAATGAAATCGGCGGCTCTAGCAAGGGCGCGGGCCACGGTCTGTGGAAGCGGGAGGGGGTGTTCGTGGGCAAGCCAACGCGCGTCCCCAGACATTATTATATTGAAGATTGAATAAACGCCCTCGCGATTTATGAATTCGTAGGCTAAGTATTTTCTAACCGCTCTGTAATTAGAACATACCTTTATGACAGAGTCTCTGGAGGGTAGCGGGCAATCATCAAAGACTATGGTGATCGCCGACGGTCCCAGCGGATTGTCGAGTGGTATCACGTTGACCATTGACGAGACGACTTGCAGCCATCCCTCTTCTTTGTCAGCGATCACGTGTAGTTTGACGAGCAGAACCGGTGACTCTTCATCGCTGAAGCAAAATCGATAATGAAATACAGGGTCCGTGTCCTGGATTCGATAACGAGTCAGCCATACGGGTCACCGATTTATCTCATATATGTAACTTCGCTGAGCGCTGACCTCGGAGCGAAGCATATCCTCTTATTTTAACTTTCATTCGCACTGCAGTAATGGAACGATGCATTCTCACTGTAGATTTTTTTTTAAATGCTCACATAGTCTTGAAATTAAGAGTGGGTTTTAGTAAATTGTATTTTTTTTTGGTGTTAGTTATATGATTCAGCGCATTGACTTAATGTAGAATTTATTTTCATTAGCATAGTTTAGAAACATATTCAAAGGAAAACCGCCAGCTGATATTTAGTGAAAACATATTTCATGTAAATTCGTTCGCATTTCTTTTTTAGTAACAAAAACATGTAAGGTAAATAAATATAGATGAATAATCAGTTTATTCTGTTATAGCATTTAAAAATAATGAGTTAGGTAAGCAAAATGAAAAAAAAAAAAACAAAAAACAAAATGGCTATGAGTAGGTAGAGATATTGTAGGTGTGTCCTGTTTATGTTATGTTTTACGTATTTATTTAATGACATAATAATATTTTCCCGCACGTGTAATACGAAGGCAAACTGTTACTGCTTACTAAGTGCTTCTCGATGAGTTGGTAACAATGAACACGTTCTTACTTGTCAACGAAGGAAGCTATAAGGGTGAGCATCTCCATCACTAGTTGGTCGACGATCGATGGATCAAGGGCCTTCATGGCACGGAGTCGTGCATCTCCGGGCGAGAGCGACATAGAGGCCGAGGCCGGGCCTGCCGTCGGAGAGTACATCTCCCTCTCGTCTGTCTTATCTTTGCACCAGCAACTCCCCATTACCTACATGAATTTACATTAAATTATGTAATTTTATGTACTGATACATATTTAAAACATACTTGGATCCCTTGAAATAATCTTTTCATATCTCATTTGAATTTTACCACGCAAGAAAAATATCCCTGGAAATTAATTATATTCCCATTGGAAGAATATACTTCGCTACGTTTACTGTAGCCAGAGTTAACAATCTAACAGAGGCGAGATCAAGATATTATCTCGGAATCAAGGCAGGGTGAGAGATATGGAGTGTAAGAGACGGCTCTTTGTTATTCAAGCTGCTCTTTTCTCTATGAAATCGAATGGAAGTTGCTGGTTTTGGAAAGACTAGCCTAGAAGCATCACTTCATGTTAGGCCGAGCTTGCATGACGAATAGGTGTAATAAGTATTTGACCAGGCACCAAGCACTTCGCTTTGTTGAAGAAACTTCTAGATTTGAAACCAATTCCACTATGCTCGTAAGAGACTACTGAAAACTTATCGAAACCTTAAATCTGAAGAACCGAATGTTCGAGAAACTCTAATTGCAATGCCATAAGAGAGTTTTCTGTTTTTTTTTCCAACAAGATGACTAGAGTTTTCGATTTCAGATTAACTTTATCGATTGTTGTTGCTGATGTGAGAGAGTTGTGTTCCGACATATATATTCTGGTGGTCGATACTATGACCACCCATGCTATTATTCGCATAACAATGCGACACTTGCATCAATTGAATAACTCGCAATGTCCTCTTAAAGCGATTACAAAGATCGTTGCTTTCAGAATCAATTGAATATTTGAAGCCTTTTCTTAGGCCAGACGAACTTGGTATTATAATAGCCGGTTTTGTTCAAAGTCAACAGAAAGTACAGGTTTGCAACATCAGCTTTTTAGTCCGAACGCCATTTTCCCATTATTTGTTCGTCAAAAATATTCTCAACTTGTTTGCCTAGATAACCTAAAGCATATTATGTTAACTGAAAACAAATAGAAGTGCACATTTTGTATTATCTGTTATTTTGTTTTAAACCGATTATCAATGACCGACGACGACGACCTAAATAGCTACTATCTTAAACGAAGCCCAAACAGAGACCGTTTGTGAGGGAAGGGGTGAATGAATTGATATGTTGCAAAAATACTTCACAATGTTGCCATTAAAATTTTAATATCATAAAAACTTATAGCGGTTAATCAGTTAATCAATTTACAATGAAAACTTGTTAATATTATTGGTATTTTCATAATTTTCAATCATTTTAAACATATTTTTTAAATCAATAAAATATAGAACATATCATATCATTCATGCCTTATATTGTCATTGACCACAAACAAATAGTGAAATGATAAGACTTTTATATTTTAAGATTTAAGAAAGTAAATTAGAAAAAAAATAAAAAATTGTGGAAAAGCAAGTTTAAGAAGATAAAAAGAAATTTAATGAAATAAAATTACATTACCTATGGAGGCTTTCAGGATCTGTAGAAATATTTTTCAAATAAATAATTGTAGGATGAAGTCTTTAAAATATAATCCTAATATTTTTAATGTTTGAATTTTATATTTCATTAACATAAAATATTGTTTCAGAAATTGTGAATTAAAAAAAGAATGAAATAATACTTATAACTTATCATGTAAATATTGTTTTGATTGCAACATTCAATAAGCCATCATGATTTGATAAACATTGCATCACATGTAACTAAGTTATATAAACACATTGTTAATAAGCATATGTATGTTTCAAATTGTGGGCATACAAGTATATGACTGTGATGTTATGTAGATAATGTTGTTCAAGGACATGAATCCCATACCTGGGGTATAGCCGACCTATGCATGAACTTATTGATTTTTTAGTGCTAACAAGAGCTTATGTAAATTAAAATATCTAAAGACAAAATGAATATTAAGGACACTCTTACTAAACAAAATCAAGAGCTAGTAGTTAATTATCAATAGTACAAAGAGTAAAGTCATTTATAATATGATTTGTGCAGATGTTTTTGTAACATGAGACGACAGTTTGTCAATAATTTGTGTTTATTAATTATCTGTTGTTCTATATAACACTAACTAACTCTTCTGTAATTACAGCAGTTTACCCATCTGAATACTTTTTGTATGTGTGGCTTGTATTTGCATATTCTCCATCAGTATGGGTACCACCTAGATCCACAGAAACAAGCAAACAGAAGGAAAAAAATGGACACATTTTTTGAGAAATCATGAAAACTAAATAATAAATTGCGCTAAGAGATAATGGCGATATATGTAAATCAGTAATGAAACATGTCAAGGTATATGTGCATATGTCCAGTGTTGGACATCCAGTATAATGACTGTTCCTTCAATGCCCACATGTAACATGTTCTTGTGACCTTCAATAGGTGGTTGATCCACCCATACTGCGTCAGCATATGTATACATAATGCTTCTAGTGCACACATGGTTTACCACAGAAAAATTTAAAATAAAAGACTACAATACTTACATTTACATACTTACTATACAAAACTAAAAAGTTCTATCATAACCTAAAAACTCTCCTAATTGAATTCTGCAGGAATTCTGCTCCAAAAATGAGTCCAAAATCTTAGTATAGTTTTAATCATAAGTTTAAATTTAATTGATTTTTAAATAATCACAGCCAAGTTGGATATATTTGCATAATATACATATTATATATGTGAGTACTCAAGTGTTGATTTGACTGTATTTTAATGAAGCTTTTACACTATTACCATTATGCATTTACTTGATAAAAATATTTTAAGTAAACTAATTCGGTCAATAATGGTGGTAAACTATTTCAGTTCAAGTAGGTTTCAACCTAACATCAATACCTACCAGTAGCCATTTCAATACATGCATGTTTGAAAGAAAGTCTTACTCTTATAGATCATGTATGGACAAAATGGACCAACAGTGAATCAAGAGAATAATTTTTGTTACTTAGTTTTCTAATAAGAATAGAATTAACTTTAGATTCATGTATAATCTCCTAAGTAAGCAAGTATGCAAAATAATTGTAAGGAGGTATCTTAAAAAGCTTGCATGTGTAACAATTTTAGTAATTTTTTGAAGAGAGTTTTTGACATTCGGCTTTCTAGCTATAGATATGAAGATTTCATAAAACAAACTTTTTTAAAGACATGTCATTTTTTATTTATCTTTACATTGTAACCTTCAGTAGATTTTTTTCGATTTCCTGTAAGGCAACGACAAACTAAACCAGTAGAGTATTAAGCTTTGTTTAGACAAGAAATGCCTCTACACTTTCTTGTAGAGCACTTATAAAAAAGGAAGCGGGTTTAACAATTTTTTTCCAATTACTCAAATAATGAACATCAACATCATATGGATCTAAAGAATATCAATTCTCTCAGAAGTCTATAGGTACCTTAGAGTTACCTTAATACCAAAACAAAGGGTACTTTATTATACAAGGGCAGGCAATATTTACCAATTAAATACCAATTTCCTTTTGCAATGAAACTAGTGAACAATTAATTCTATTTAACTGGCACCTGGTTTGTTTTTATCAAAAATGAAAGACAAACAACATGGATAGCTTCAGTTCCCAGCAACAGTGCGAATGAGCATGCATGTCTGATTCTTTGCATTCAATCTATCATCTATATTCTTTTCCGAGCACCTTGTCCAACTTGTCGATTACGATGAAGAGTTTACCAGATTAACTAACCCATTGAGTTTCTTGCTGGATTTTCTCAGCTGGTCGCAATTTTGGATATGGTGGTAGATTATTTTTTTTTGCTTAGATGTGTGGATGAGCTCCCAGCCCACCTGGTGTTAAGTGGTTACTGGAGCTCATAGACATCTACAACGTAAATGCGCCACACACCTTGAGATATAGTTCTAAGGTCTCAGTATAGTCACAACGGCTGCCCCATCCTTCAAACCGAAACGCATTACTTCTTCACCGCAGAAATAGGCGGAGCGGTGGTACCTACCCGTGCGGACTCACAAGAGATCCTACCACCAGTAAAACAGATTCTACACAGCACTGCTCTTGCAATTGCTCTCAGCACAAACCTGTGAGCTCACCTACCCATCCAGGCATAACTGGTATAGCCCCCTAGGCTAGCAGTGAATAGGTAGAGAAAAAAAAAAATCTGATTTCAGTGATATAATCATAAATATAGGGATAGCTATAATATTGCTTATAAATATTTAAAGAACCTAAAGACTTGTGGGGGAGTAAGAGGGTGAACGTAATTACCATCGATACTGCCCCAAATGTCAAGCGACTGCGACGACTAGTAGTCGTGGTGCTCCCTGCTAGACAACAGACGAGGCAATGGCGACCAAACAGTTGCGGGATAACCATATCCCCAGCTGGACAACCAGCTGGATGAGGCTGCAGAGGCCTAGGGGGCTAAATCCCCTCTAAAAAGTTTTCGGACGGAAAGGAATGGCAAGCTACCGTTACTATTTTTCCCAAGAAAACCACCATGAGAAAAGCTGGTGCAAAAACTAGACCAAGGTGGTCACGACCCTCAGTAATGAGGAAACGATATGAGATTATTCACAATGTCTCTGGCATCTAATCGATAGCGGGATTCTAAAATAATTCGTTTTAATTTCGTAATCAATTTATGGGACCTAGAGTTCACTGTTGGTCACACATAGTTTAATGAGAGAAAAAAAAAATTAATGAATCGCCCTACATCGCCGTGTCAGTTACCAACCCTGTTTCAAAAATAAGAAATGATTTACTTCACATAGTAGATACAAATATAATACCCAACGATGTTTTTAATGAAATGGCTACTTAAAGGAAAATAAAATTTACATAAAGAGCATACCATATGCGACATAAATAAATGTAAAGTACTTACCCCAGCATCGCTATCATCTTTTTCAGGAAAAGGATGCGCAGAAATCGAAGTCCTATTCCACTAAATTACAGTACTACAAAACTGATTTTAAAAGTCTTGAAAGCATTTATGCAATGTAATTTTTAAGATTCTCACATATTAAATAAATGTCCAGGCCATTAGACGTCTCATCGTCGTTTGACCTGCTCCGATACAAACAAAAATTAACAAAACATTTCTACGATCAATAAAGAAGACCTCAACCAAAGACATTTTTATATTTGTTTGATTATTAGGCAAGTAAAGGAAAAATAGCCATACAGCCGAGACAAACATAAAAGGTGAATTAGAACAGAGTTAAACGAAATGCAATTGATTTGCAAATGTTTAATTTTCTTGCTCTTGTACACATCTCTTTAATGTTAAACAGGTGATCATTGTGTACGCTTGACTTCAAAAACGAAAAACAATAAGTTATAAGGGTTCATAAAATTGGACACCTCGCAATGCCGCCAAACAACGTTAACGCAAATATTGCTTTATATGTTTTGTTCTTTAAGGATAAAGGGATAAAAGTCTATAGGTACCTACGCTAAATCTTTTAATTGTTTTGTTTAATTCGACCAATGAACCACCAGGCAACCGATCGTCAAAAAAGGAACATTGGATGGGTAAAGGAACAATACTGGGAGCAAATTTTTTGCAACATGCCATTTTTGGCATCCTCCTACGAGGTCCCCGCGCGCCCCTTTTGCGGGTATGTGGGACTCCAAGATCTGCATGGTGTTGTGAGCAGACCGCGGGCCCAAGGATTTTAGGGCCCACCCACTAAACGACTCCCCTGCACTCTTACACCCGACGTCCGATCCCCTTCGAGGTCAGAACCCGGATGAGGTAGGGGGGCTACCGCGGTCAACACTACAACCAGACGGCGCGGCTCACCGACGGAGCCTTCGAGGCGAATCGAAGGCTCTGAAACGTCAGCCGTCTCGGTACGGCAGCCCGTCGGCCCACCCGGACGGTGCCGCTGGTGTCCCGGAATACCCCGCTGGACCAGAACCAGCCAGCGCGGTCGGGATGCGATACACCGTCGACCGGTCAAATAAATTGAAGCCTGTTAATAATTTAAAAGTAAATGAATCAGAATGAAAATAATAAATTAAATGTAGAATCAAATCAGATGAGTAGACAACACCTCCGATGCTAGATGAGACAAAATGAAATAACATTGCAGTAAACTAATACAGTGAGATTATTAAAACTTACAAGAACTTTTCCAAAAATTTTCGCTTCTCTTCTTTATACTGCACTTCAGATGTAACACATCGTTTCATTTTATATAATTAATTTGATCCCATTACTAACTTCAAAATAATCAATTTTTATTTTATTTCGCTATATGGTAATTCTCTTGGAAGACATGGTATCACAAAAAAACATGGCTGTATGAGTTATATTTCTTTTGCTTGCTTGATTGAACAAATTAAAGTAAAAAAGTCTATGGTAGAGTCACCATTTTACATATCGATAAAATGGGGTGATTCGGGACAAATTCCAACTTGATGAACAATTTTAAGGCAGTTGTTGATGTTTAAAATGCTATATCAGGATCAAAATGATTGAGTCTTGGGGCCATCTTTGTTATCCAATTTAAAGCTATGCAATTAGCATTCCAGTTTAAACCAAAAAAGCAAAAATGGGTGCTATCCCTACCTTACCCAGAAATTGCGGTTATTAGGGACAAAATTGATATTAGTAGAGAAATTTGGTAGGGCTGGCACTCCTTGGTTTTAATTAATTAATTTATTTAGTTGCACCAACAAAGTGATCATCAATAAAAAAACATTGAAAAACTGACAAAAGTACATGGCAAATGGCATAAAAAAGGTGCAATCGACAGTGCATTGACAACACAAATAAAAAAATATATAACTAAAACTTGATTACATTTAATTACTTGTGATTGATTTATATTTACTTGGGAAATTATCCGCGACAGATTTTTCCTGTAAGTTGTGAGATAATTAGAAAAAACATCTATTTCATCACTTAAAATTAGTTCAGTGCAATCAGACAACTCCGAATGAACATTGACGGAGACCGCGCTACCGTGGAGATTATTGTAGTCCCGAAGGATTCTGTTTAACCAATGACAACTGTGTGAAACCAATAACAACTGCCACTTACCTTTAATATATATGATGGTTCAAACACTAAATAACGTTTATAAATCACAGTCGTCTATTATTATCAGATAAATAAAAGAAATCAAAGTTTCTAACACTGAAATAATTACCACCACAAGAAGTTAATTTGAAATGCGGTTTTTTATAAGTTAGCAGCTATAATCATGCATATTCAGAGTTGTTTTGTGAGCTTTCAACGTTCTTCTATTACACTACAAAATATAGAAGATTTTGCAACGATAAAAAAACGGGTAGTATTTAATCCTACAACTGTAAATGCAATTTTTTCTATTCAAATATTCGAAATTACCACCAAAAATACTGAATTGCGCACTAAATTTGCTCATCAAATAAATCAAATCTAATATACTGTTTGATTTATAAAGCGAAACTGTTTTACTAAATGACTATTTGTTAACTAAAAGTAAAACTGATAATTCTGTGTGTGCAACAAAATATTTAAATCAATTTTTTTAAACCCATCACCTATTAAACTGTTAAGAACATGAGTTATTTTAAATGAAACACCAGTTAATCAGTCATGTTTATCTAATTAAAGTGCACAAAAAATCAACTAAGTGCAATCTTAATATACACTAACAATTGCAAAACAGTAAGGTAACTCAGTTTTTTTAACTAATCAATCTTTGTTATTACAACATAAAAAAAATCTTCTTATTGTATAATTAGGGCAGGTTTTGCTTTCGCCCGGTGGATACCGCCGCCGGGTACCGTCTCATCGTGTTATTGGATGAGATGGGCAAGCTGCTGGAACGCATGCTGGGGGCCGGCATCATCCAGCATCTGGTCGGGGTAGGACCCGATCTGTGGACGGAGCAGTATGACTTCCGAGAGGGCCACTCAACGGTAGACGCGATCTTTCGCGTGCGGGCACACAACTTCGGCGCTGGTTTTCCGGCCGAAAAGCCTAATTAATAAATATAATCATATTTGGCGCTGTTTTTTTTTAATTACACAGTTTGCTACGGTGGCTACACTAATTGATTCTGACGGACACTTTAATACCCGGTGATTGTTTTCTACCCCTCTATTAGTTAGTACCGTTACAGTCTAGCACTGTCCATATAGAATTGCGACCCCGACATTTTCAAAAAACCTTGTGCCATGTTCATCGATTGACTGGAATAGGTTCGACATGCGTCATTTAATTCGGCAATACAGCTACATAATACCTACATATAAACACACGGACGACCGAGCTCGCATATCCGTCCGGGCAAAATTTATTACAATTACCGGTACTAGTTGACGCAATTTGGCCGTGACGCTGATCGACAATGTTCATCAGAATTTGATTAGATGTTTAAAATAAAATGGCCGTTTTAAACGCGATAATGTACATACAATGAAAATAATATAATACAACAAACATGTGTAGGTACATCCATGGTATACTCGTGTAATCTGTAGTCGCGTGAAATTTATATTAATTTCAAACTTTTTTTTAAATTTTTTATATGGGTGAACGATCTCACGGCCCACCTGGTGTTAAGTGGCTACCGGAGCCCATAGACAACTACGACGTAAATGCCGCCACTCACCCTGAGATATGAGTTCTAAGGTCTCAGTATAGTTACAACGGCTGCCCCACCCTTCAAATCGAAACGCATTACTGCTTCACGGCAGAAATAGGCAGGGCGGTGGTACCTACCCCTGTGGACTCACAAAAGGTCCTACCACCAGTAATTGCGCAAATTATAATGTTATTCTTTCACCGTGGATGTCAATCGTGAACATTTGTCAAGTACGTATTTCATTAGAAAAATTGGTAACCGCCTGTTGGATTCGAACAACGGACATCGTTCGAATCACCGAACACCGATGCATCGGCCACAACGACTTCACTATCTACTTTATTCACTTTATACAGGATGGTAATAGTTATTGCTGTGATTTGATGGGCAGACGAGAGATTATGGCTGAATCTACAGGTTTTATTTGCTTAAAATTACAGCCTCAAGATTTGAGATTAGTTTTTATTTATTAACTAGCTGACCCGGCAAACATTGTTTTGCCATATATAAGATTTCTAGGGAATTTCTAGTGTAGGGAAAAAAACTAACTTATTGTAAGTGTGTAAGGATGTGGTAAATGAGTGAAAGAGGTATGTAGTGCTGTGAACGATGAGGGAATATATAATAAAAATAAAAAAACCTCATTCAACCACATAATACCTCTTTATAACAAAAAAAAATGTCCAGATAAAAAAAAATATGTTAGGGGTGGACAACCCTAATCACTTAGGGGTATGAAAAATAGATAGTAGCCGATTCTCAGGCTTACTGAATGTGCATAAAAATTTCATGAGAATCGGTCAAGCGGTTTCGGAGGAGTATGGGAACGAACATTGTGACACGAGAATTTTATATATTAGATATCACGTGTTTTTAGTCTTCTTGTTCTAAATTAACGATTCGTCTCCCCGTTAAACCGGAATGTACCTATTGGTAACACCTTCTTAAAAAATATGTAGATGATAATAAAACGATCAATTTATTCCTTTTTAGACCTTTCCTGGACCAGAACCTAAAGAAGTTTGAAATTTGTAAAGTTAAAATCAACATAGTTGTTTTGTTTATATCCTGAATGGAGCGGTGTATCCGTTAAAATACTACACCAATAGTTAATTAAAAAACCAATTTATCGGCTACAGTTCTAAGCAGCTAGATACCTATATCTAATAATATATCTAATTATAATATATTTTAAGGAATCCTAACAAGTAGTCTTCAGGTTTTTTGTAAATCAGAATTACTCATCTAATAAAATTTAACAACTACAATTTTAGGTAACCTCTAAGTAGTTCCTAAGGAGGTTTTTTCCCCTACCTATGCTGATAGCCTTGAGAGGCTATTTCAGCTTCTCCTTGATGTGTAGGTGAGCTCACGGGGCTCAAATCGGGAGTGTTGCTAGCACTGGCTCTAGCAAGATCAGTGCTTCGCAGAATCTACCACCGGATCGGAAACGCGGCCCACTGAGAAGATCCGGCGAGAAACACAGTGGGCTGTGTCTATGGGTTAATTCACTCGTCGAGCCCTTCG